TAATAATAATAATAATAATAATAATAATAATAATAATAATAATAATACATGCCTGGCAACAAGCTGCATTTTACTGAGATTCTCAAGGTGCTGATATTACTTTTGGATTTTATTTTTTATCTTTTAAACAATCCAAAGCTATAATTATTTTGCTGACACCATCCTTATATTCCTGCTTGCAGACAATGCAACAGAAGAAGACAAAATGCTCAGCAAAGTGATTATGAAATACTGGGCTAATTTTGCTCACAGTGGGTAAGTCGGAGGGTTTCTACATGTCCATAAATTTACTACTCAGTTAGATTATACAACTGGTGTAAATGGGACTTAATAGCTATGAAGTTCAATTGTCTCCAAGGGGAACCCACCCCCTCCCAGGTCACCAGAGCTCTCAGACTTCAGCAGAGAGGCTGGGCATATTAGAGGTTATTGGCCTGGGGGAGGAAAGTGTGCTTCCAGCAGATGCTTCTGATAAATTTTGCAACTGTTTCTAGAACATTTTATTATTGTTTGAAAAATGATAAAAGCTCTAGTTGTGAAAGTGGGGAAGAGATTATGGTGCTGATCCTAAGAGAAAGAAATGTTGCTATTTATCTAGATGTAGATTTAACAGGCCAAACTGATACTGTCAACTAATTGGCCATTTGCAATTGACTCTAGGAACCCCAATGGAGCTGGCTTGGTAACCTGGCCCAGATACGACCTGAGTGAGCAGTATCTGGAAATAGACTTAAAGCAAAAGGTGGGAAGAAAACTGAAAGAGAAAGCTGTTGCCTTCTGGACCAAGACCCTGCCAGAAAAGGTGGCCAAAGAGAAAGGACGCACTGAGTTATAACTTCTTCAGCCACACATGAACTCCAGAATTTGGTGCATCAGAAAACATTTCTCAGATAATCGTCACTCACCACTGGATTGCAAGTCTGGCCCCTTCTCTTCAACTGGGCGAGTGTACGCTGGCCTCCAAGGGCAAGCGAGTCACACCTTCCCAAATGAAGTTGGTCACGGGGTTCTAGAGCAGGGGTGGGCAAACTTTTTGGCTCGGGGGCCTCATTGACTTTTAAAATTTGACAGACGGGCCGCCACCTGGTGTCGAAATGCCTGTCATTACAAGTCAAAATCAAATGAATGCAATCATTCACATCAAACCTTAATTCTGTAGCAATCTTCGGCGGGCCGGATTAAAAAGACCAACGGGCCGGATGTGGCCCGCGGGCCATAGTTTGCCCACCCCTGTTCTAGAGGAAGGGCCATCACTTGCTGCAACCAGTGGCCTCCATGACAAAAGCTTGATTGTTGCAAGAACCTTAACCTTAGACTGTCTACTATTGATCTCACCCCTTTCCTAAGAGGTCTGTAGGGGGCGTGCATAAGCGCACCAATGTGCCTACCGTCCCTGTTCTCTTGTTTCTTTAATGTTTCTTACATGTACTCATTTCTTATATTCATAACTATGTTTTTACTTATACCTATTATCTTGTAAGCAATTGACAAATCAAATTAAAAATAAATAAATAAATAAATAAATAAAAAGATAATCCTGCTCTGTCTAGAAACCCTTTAGAACTATCAGCTTTGAATACGAATTGAAATTTTCAGTAGAATCAGCGGAATACTCTGGCAATAGTAATAGTGTCAGGATTCCGGCAGTTACTCCCATTTAAATCATGAGTCTCGAGCCAAACATCCAAAACTTCAAAAAGGAGTTAAATTGGGAGTTAAATTGTCCAGCACTGTCTGGGTGTAGCCAACTCTGAGACACAAAGTCCCTTGACCCCGGTTTCCCCCCACCTCCTAGGTGTATCATAATTCATATTCTCCAATGGGACACATCCATTGCCAAGAGTCATCAATCATACCCTCCCGTTAGACTTTTGCATGGCAGAAATTTCGGTCACCTAGTTACTATCTTTGAAAACATTTATGGAATGCAGTTTCGGTTTGCAAGCTGCTGCACTGCCCCCCCCCCCTTTTCTGTATTCTGCACAGAGGTGGATTTGAAGCTGTACAGATGCAGATAGATAACTCAACAAAACGTCCATAACAAAGTACATTTATTGGTTCATCAGGTATCCTCATAACTCACATTTGTGACGAAGTTCTTTAATGACCAATACTTTGCATATCTGCCTTATAGTAAAAGATGGTTATCTCCTAACACATATCATAGCGATAGAAAGCAGCTGCCATGAGTTAGGGAATTCAGGCAAAAGTGAGGAAAACTCCCCCAACCCATCAAGGGTCAAATTAGTGACCAATCAGGATTACAGATGTGGCCACGTGACATGAACTACATTTCCCAGGATACCTTTAACTACATTTACCATGATGCATTCCCTTAAGGGGACAGCTCATAATTCATAAGTAACTATCCAATTCCCATAGACTGGCTGGGACAGCACACCCTCCCTTTCTGTTGGCAACTCTAAAAAGACCATAGAAATATTTTATGGGTTGACAAATAGAATAAATAAGGTCCCTTGAAACTTCGTGAAGCTTTATACACAATAGCAATAGCATTTAGCATATACTGCCGGTTAGCACTTTACAGCACTCCCTGGTGTCAGCATTAATTGCATATTGCCCACAACAATCTGAGTCCTCATTTTACCGGCCTCAGAAGGATGGAAGGCTGAGTCAGGATTGAACTCCAGGCGTGGGCAGAGTTTGCCTGCAATACTGCATTCTCACCACTGAGCAAATAGGGCACCTATGCAGTATCAATAGAATATAAAGCAGATGGTTCATGCAAAAATTCAAAATCATAGAACATATCCTCTGAAGAGGGCTTAAAACAAATCTCCTGTTTATTTATTCAGTGTATATGCCACCACAAATACAAAGTGACCAAAAATCAATATCAAATTACTACTTGAGGGAAAACAACATAAACATCAAAGGAAGAACTAGCCTTTTCAGCAGCTCAACCATAGGGAGTGTATCCCTGAACACCTGGAAGGTACTTGCAAGTACAAATAACTCCACAATTTAACAACCACTTGGTTAGTGGCCATCTGAACATACATTGGCACTCAAAAAAGTGGCTTATAGCCGATTCTCACGCCTACAACTGTGGCAGGATCCTTGTGGTCACGTGATCAAAATTGGGGCGCTTGGAAGTCAACCTGTGTTTATGGCGGTTACAAGCCCTTGGGATAAAGTGATCACCATGTTGTGACCTTCCCAGCTGGTTTCCGGCAAGCAAAGCCAATGGGGGGATCCAGATTTGCTTAATGACCCTATGACTCACTTAACAGCTGCAAGCAATTCATTTAACAACTATCACAAAAAAGTCATCAGATTGGTTGCAATTTACTTAATAAGCACGTTGCTTAGCCATGAAAATTCTGGTCCCAGCTCTAGTTGTAAGTCGGGGATTATCTGTGTTAAGAAAGATACAAATCTGATCAGAAAAGGGAGTGATTTAAGCCAGTGATGGGATTCACATTTTTTTACTACTGGTTTAGTGGGCGTGGCTTGGTGGGCGTGGCAGGGGAAGGATACTACAAAATCCCCTTACCTCCCCACCCCACTAACCTGCTTTCCAGCCCCGTTCTCCTGTGCAGGGCAACAAAGGAAGACCCAGCTGATCAGGTGGGACTTAATGGGAGGCAGCAAATAGATGGGGTCAGGGCAAGTCAGAGGTGGGATTTTCCAGTTCTCCGAACTACTCAAAGTTTCCTCTACCAGTTCTCCAGAACTGGTCAGAACCGGCTGAATACCATGTCTGATTTAAGCCATAAATTAGCCATTTGTGAACTGTTATCTAAAATCAATTTCTATTGTTTAATTCTCACATCTGATTATTGTTTGATTCGTTGCTTTCTGACACATCATGTATATTGAATGTATGTACCATTTATCTCTGTATACTAGATAAAGACTGGACTGCCCTCTTCATAAATACTTTTTGTTTTTCCTGAATTATTTGGGTTTGATTTGTTGGGGCAGGAGGACGAAAGTCACCTCATGAGGTTATTGAGCGTTTCTCAGATTCAGGAACCAGTTTTTTTCCAGCTCCATGCCACTTGTGCACCTGAATTTTAAAGCAGCAACACCATCCTGCTAGGACTAAACCTGTGTTCACAGATCCAAACAGCTCCCAAGCACTGGCACCGGATTTCCGCGGATCTCCTGTTCGGCCAGGATTGAGAAAGAGAGCCAGCTTGGCCCAATGGTTGGCCTAAAAGCCAGAGGACTAGCAGTGCTTGGCCATCCTCAGGCATATAGTGTGGATGGGCTCTTGAGTTGCTCTCCCATAGAGTTGCTCTCCGGGGGGGGGAATAGAAGAAGGAGCCTCTTGAACCCTGTGCCAATGGATGGCTGCTCTCTGTGGCTTCACACAGGTATTCAATAAGAAGAGTGGGAGATCTGGGGCACCCCACAACAGAGGCTCCTGGGATGCACCCTCCCCTTCCCCAAAGGACCAGGGCCCATCACTTCTAAGCCTTGCAGCTCATTCAAGAGGTTGCTAGGATGGATGGTACCACAGACACAGAAAGTGTGATGATTCGGGGCGTGGCACAAAAATAACAAAGTCACCAAAGTAGATAAATTCCCTTTAATGCCTCCAACTTGGCCCCCAATGTCCAGTTATCCTTGGCTGGAGATCAAACTCTTCCCAAAAACAGTATATAAAGGGAAGAAATGCAGTCCAAACCCAAAGTAAAGATAATTGGAAATTAAAAAAAACCAACACAAACCACGCTGAAGTACTTAACATGACAGGGCAGGATGATAAATTGTAGAATTCCACAAGATAACGCAGCACGGACAGTTGGGAGGACGCCAAAACCCAGATAAGCCTCGAAAAAGATAATGCATGCTTTGCTTCCAGCAACTTTACCATGCGCAGTTTGCCCTTTTAAACAGTCTTCCCAGCCGTAACCCATGAAGGGGATCAGGGCCTTCTTCTCTCTCGCAAGCCACATTGCTCCCTTCTCAGTTCCTCCCTGCGTGCCCTAGGATGAAAAGGGGATGGCCCTGGGTCTTCCTCTGGATGCCCAGCTGGACTGGGCCCTTCCCCTGTTTCTTCCACAGCCACCAGAGCCCCACTCCCTGTCAGCTGCTCGATCTCCCCCTCAGAATCGGACTCCAACAAGGGCATGACAGACAGGCCAACAGGACCTTCCATCTTTTGCCTTGCCCAGGTCTTCAAAAGACTGACCAATGGTGCCATGCTCAGCCCTGAAAGAGAAGAATGCTTGGCAACTGTCTCACATTTAAGACGGTTGCAGCGTCCTGGAGTCACATGATCCCCTTCTGAGGAGCAAAGTCAATGGGGAAGCCAGATTGACTTAACAACCAGGTTACTCACTTAATGACTGCAGTGATTCACTTAACAAATATGGCAGGAAAAGTCATAAAATAGGGCAAAACTCACAACAAATTTCTCACTTAACAACATAAATTTTGGGCTCAGTTATGGTTGATTATCTGAATAAAATTGAAGAAGACGATCTCATTTATACCTAGAAATACCTTGCTGGTATTCTTGTAATCTGTAAGCCAAGGATTTACAAACCTTTCTCACATAGCGGTAACTCTCAGTAACCCTGATTTATTTTGAAAAGATATTCACTGTCAAAATACACAAACACAACTAAACACTGTTTCAGGAAATTGTTAAAATTTATCAAGTAAATGCTACCCATTTCGGGTAATTGTTACATAATTGTTCAAAAATTACTCCAGATCAAAATGGTAGCAATAGCAAGAGCCCTTAGACTTACATACTGCTTTATAGTGCTTTCCAGCCCCCTCTAAGCGGTTTGCAGAGTCAGCCTTTTGCCCCCAACAATCTGGGTCCTCATTTTATCCACCTCGGAAGGACGGAAGGCTGAGTCAACCTGGAGCCTGGTGGGATTTGATCTGCCAAATTGCAGGCAGCCGGCAGTCAGCAGAAGTCGCCTGCAGTACTGCACTCTAACTATTGCGCCCCTGAGGCTCTTGGTGAGGTAGGAGACCCCCGGGACTACCAATATCATTGCTTCTGCTCCTTCCCATTTGCAACCCAGCATCACATTCACTTCTTAAGCTAAACGGTGGAGTTGTTGTAACAATTGTCCGTCTGCAATTGGAAACTTTCTGCTTCTTTGGGGAGCCATAGCAAACTCCTTGAAGGAAGACCTGGGGTGATTTAACCCAGTCTTGCTGGCCATGGATTGGCAATTGAAGCCAGTGGGGAAAAGGGCCAGAAGCTCCTTGCAGAAGCTGCTGGATGAACAGATGGAAGGTAAGAAAAAGGAGGCCTGCTTGCCTGCCAACACCTGCGTCCCACCTCTCAAGCTGGCTGCTCATGGCAGATGGGGAGGAGTCTTTCTGTCCGTGAGGCAGAAGAGGCAGCATTCTGGTGTCATGGCAACCGTGTCTTAACAGGGGCTGGCAACCGAGCACTCAGTCAACACAGAACCTTAGCAGAAGATTAGTCCTGCAACCCTGGGCACCGCAGAATGAAAGGGGCATCCCATTTCCGTCTCAAACAGAGAAGGGAAGCAACTCAGCGATCCCAAGACCCAGGGAGAAGTTCTTCGGTATAAAGCTCTTGCCCTCTGCCTCGGGGGGCCCAGTTCCCCACCTCCTCTCCTTCCCAACTCTGGATTACCAGAGGCCTTTTTCCTCCCCTGACTAAGCTCTCCACCAAAGAGCCTCATGCTTCAAAACTAGTCCAGCTTCACCCTAGCCGGAACTGCTGGGATCTTGCTGGGATCCACCCACCCAGTGGCTGTGAATGCAGGGTGTAGCCGTCATCCAAGCCCCCTCCTTCTAATGCACTCGGCCACTGCAGATGAGAAGAGGCAGCAGCCTCTTGGGTTTGGGGGAAATGTGCCTTCCGTTAACCCTTTCTCTCGAGGAAGCCCATAAAATCACTCAAACTCAGCCATCCACCCCAAGAAGCCGGCAGTTTCCAGGCTCCGCCTGCCTAGAAATGCTCCATGGGGAACTGACTGGCAGCTCCTTCGGGGGTGCTGAGGCTGCCCATCTGACCAGAGCTGCTTGGCCTGCAGGTGAGGAGAGAGAAGGAACTGGCCCCCGCCCCCCCCGATTCACCCCCCCTCTCTTTGACAGGGCCAGCATGTGCTGCTTCTCCTTGCTGTCTTCAGCCTGCCTCCTTCTGGAGGAGCTGGTGAGTGGAGCTCCTCAGCCCAGATGCACCTCCCTGCTCCCAAATTCACAGGAACACAACAAGAGCCTTCGGGCAGAGCGGGAGTTGTCCGTGTGTGTGTGTGTGTGTGTGTGTGTGTGTACAAGGAACACAAAGGGATGGAGTAACAGTCTTGTGCCTGTTGTGTCCACGGCTGCCCTCTGCTGCCATTCCAGATCCCGTCCAGGCAGGAAAGAAGCAAGACTGGATAAACTACTTTAATTGGCGGAAGTTTCCAATTGCTGAAGCATTTTTCAGTCCTTTCGCTGCTGCTTTGGCGTTGCTGATTTGTCTTCCCTTCAACTTTCACAGTCAGAAACTTGGCAATTGGATTGAGCTGGGCGGCTACAGAAATGAATCAATAACCTTCTTTTCATGGGTCAGCCTTGACAATCCCAATTCTAGGAAACACAACCAGTCGTTTCACCCAAATGGGCGCCCTCTCACAATCCCGTTTGCCCGTTGTGTGAAATGACTGGTTGTGTTTCCTAGAATTGGGATTGTCAAGGCTGACCCATGAACAGAAGGTTATTGATTCATTTCTGTAGCCGCCCAGCTCAATCTAGTTATTCTGAGCAACAAACAGTTCTAAAACAGTTATAAGCAGCACAAAAACAAATATACGCAGCTGCTGAGGAAATTATTATAATTCTCATTGTAGCCAAAAAAAATGGGGCTCTTCACACATTTGAAGCCCCAGGCCTGGGCACATAACCAAGTTTTTAAGGCCAAGTCCAGAGCAGGGGTCTCCAACCTTAGCAACTTTAAGCCTGGCGGACTTCAACTCCCAGAATTCCCCAGCCAACTTTGCTGGGAGTTGAAGTCCTCCAGGCTTAAAGTTGCCAAGGTTGGAGACCCTGGTCCAGAGGGCAGGAGCTACAGCAGAGAAGGACCTGCAGCCATACCCATTTCTGCCAGACAGGATTGGACAGGTAGAAACCATGGAGAAAAGACACTCCAGGTAAGGCACTCCAAAGCTTGTAGGGTTTAAAGCACCTTGAATTGCATACAGACGCACACCACTAACTAATGATGCAGCACTGGGTGTCATATGTATTGCGTGTCTGAGGACCCTTCACCACCTGTGCAGCTGCCTTCTGTTCAGCTGAAGCTCCCGAATGCTCTTCAGAGGCAGCCCCATGTAAAGCGCATCGTAGCAGTCCAAACAAGACAGTACGAGGGCATAAATGACCATGAGCAGAGCCTCGAGCCGTCTGGAATGGGCACAAATGGCTACCCACGGCTGCCCTCTGCTCTTCAAATAGGAGCCGTGAGTCCAGGAGACCCCCAGATTTTACAGTGTTACAAGTAAGTGGGTGCAAAGGGGGCACACTTCTTACGGGCATCTGGAGCAGAGCGAGAAGACAAGAGAAGAGAGAGAAGCCACCGGATAGAAGGAAGGACTCGCCTTGGAGCTCTTGAAAGGAAGCCAGGAAGAAAAGCTGGGAGCTCCGTGAGGGAATTTGTGCGGAGCAATTGAAGGAGCAATCAGAAAGAAGGGCAACAAGGAGTGCAAGGGACAAGGGACAGCAGAAAGAATGGTAAAATGAAGCTGGGTCCTTTGAGCATCCTGTAGATCAGCCCCCCCCCCCCCCGCCACCTTTTGGGCCTCAGGGACCGGTTCTGTGGAGAGAGGTTTTTCCACAGACTGGGGGGGGGGGACGTGGTTTGGTGTGCTGCCTGCATCCCACAGATGAGGCTTCGCTTGTTTGTGTGGCCCAGTTTCTCGCATGCCACAGGTCAGAGCTGGTCCGTGGCCCGGGGGTTGGGGAGCCATGCCATAATTGGGGAAATGGGGAAGAAATGCAAACGCTTAAGGCAAAGCCAAGGAGGCCCTGATGACGGACTTGCACATCTCTTTCACAAAGTTGCAGGTTGCGGCAGACAAGCCAGCCTAGTTCCCACAAACTCTGCCCAAGACGTGGCTGCTGTCGGTGAATTCCCTTGGCTGGTCTCGCTGCAGGATCAGGGCAGCCATGTTGCGCTTGGTTCCATCCTAAGTCAAGACTGGATCCTAAGTGCAGCCTCCAGTTTCCACCACAGGTAATGCTCAGGAGCTCATTCCAAGCAAGCAAGTCAGAAAGATGGCCCTCAGCAATCATCCTGGGGTTTTACACACACACACACACACACACACACACACACGGGAGTTCTTCCAGCAACATCCTTTCCTTGCGTCTGGGAGCTGGATAAGGATCCGTTGTGTTCATGATGGTGACAAAAGCAGCACTTGAGATCCTGGTGGACCATTTTTAAATGATTATTTTGAGATATTTTGGAGTCATGAGCAAGCAAGATGGTAAAGGTTCTCAGAATCTTGCCCATTTCCCATCTGTGCTTCACTCCCTGGCATTCCCCAGACCCACTGACCCCCTTTTTAAAAAAACCACTGGCTCTTGTTTTAGATTTTTTTTTTTTTTTGAAAAAAAATGTATAGGGCGAAGCTGTAGTTTATGCCACCATTACTGTGTCCCCTGAGGTATACTTAATAAATATGAATGCTGCTTGGACCCATGATGGCTCAGTGGTTAGAATGCAGTATTGCTGGCTGACTCTGCCCACTGCCAGGAGTTCGATCCTGACTGGCTCAAAGTTGACTCAGCCTTCCATCCTTTCAAGGTGGGTAAAATGGGACCCAGATGGTTGGGGGGGGGGGGGGGCTGTAAAGCACTATGAAGCGGTATATACCGTAATTGTAAGTGCTACTGCTATTGCTTGGTCCCATTGCTATTTGCACTGGCTAGTGAGATTCCTGTGTCTTCTCTGCTATTTGCAACTCACCGGCTTTAAACAGGCAAATTTTCCTCTACTATTCCATCTCCAGGCAGCGGAAATTCACCTGATAAAGTTTTGTTCCTCCAGCCCAGGAGATCTGCCAGAAGAAGGTGGCCAAGCCCATCTAGAAACGTGAGCAGGACTCCAGGTTTACTGGACAATCGAGGTTTCCTCCAGTAACCCCCTTGCTGTTTCTTGCTGCCCCTTCTTTGTTTCCAGGACCCAGATCTCCGCTTTGGCTGGACGTTTGGATCCCAAAGGGCCTGGGGAATCTCTGGTGCCCATCCAGACCATCGTCCCCCACGAGGCCTTTGACGAGATAACCCTGGTGCACAACATTGCTCTGCTGAAGACAAGCACTCCGCTCCGTTTCAGCGCGACCCTGCAGCCCGTCTGCTTCCCCACCCCAGACTTCCCAGGGGCAACGCTGAAGAAATGCTTTGTGGTCGGCTGGCAGGACCCTCGGGGAGGTGAGCCGGCACTCTTCCTGCAAAGCTGCCCCAAAGGGAGAGCCGGGAGGCGATGGAGCATAGCCTGCCAGCCTTGACAACTTCATAGAGGTTCTCTACTGCCTTGGCTCACCAGGGGTCAGTCCTCTGCGGAGACTCTCGGTGGAAGATGTGGACCCCTGCCCCCTGCACAGAACCGTCAGGACCGAGTGTTGCAGCCACCGGGAAGGTGACCGAGTGCCCGGATGCCTGGTGAGGAGACCCTCAAGGGTGCATTAACCTGGATCCCACTGGGGGCTTCAGAGAGTCACCTTTTCCTGCTCTTTCAAGCGAGCTTGCCCTTAGCAAGAATCTGCCGGAAGGCAAGTATGCACTTCGCCATGTTTCAAGCCTCTGAGGTTAAGAACCGAGCAACATCTGTCTCTCTGGCCTTTGAACAAAGGAATCTGGATGTGAGAGCCCTCCCGTATGATCCCCAACCTTTTTTACGCCGCGGTGTGTAGTGATCCCCAACCTTTTTTACGTCGCGGCCTGGTACCGGCATCAGCTGGGCGCCGCGGCCCGGTACCAGCATCAGCTGGGCGCCGCCATCTTTTTTTGATGAAAAAGTGCTTCTGGTGACCTCACCGGAAGCACTTTTTCATCAAAAAAAGATGGTGGCGCCAGCGCTTCCGGTGAGCTTTCTACCCGGTGAGCCTTTTCTACCCAGAAAAGCTCACCGGAAGCACTGGCGCCATCTTTTTTTGATGAAAACGTGCTTCCGGTGAGCTTTCTACCCGGAAAAGCTCACCGGAAGCACTTTTTCATCAAAAAAAGATGGCGGCCCCCAGCAAGCCAGCGGCCCGGTAGGACTTGTTCCGCAGACTGGTACCGGTCCGCGGACCGGTGGTTGGGGACCCCTGCTGTAGAGGACCGTCTGTGTTTGCACCACAATTATTCAAGTGGGCAGAGATTTCTGCAGGGTGCTAATTTACAGTCATTTGCTTCTACCCCTCCTGTGAGGAGCCTCAAGCCCCTTTGGGGTGGGCAAGATGGCCTCTTGGGCTGATGGGCTCCTTTCTTCAAACCCCACAGACTCCATCTTGCTCACTTGGTTGGTCGTTTCTTTTCCTACGGGGGGGGGGCTGAGCCCCCGAGACACCCACCCTATAGGGGGAGTTGGGATCCAGGAGGTCGACTAGTGGTGCCTCAAGATGGTCCAAAAGGGCCTGGAATTGTGACCGGTGTCTTCTCTCCAAGGGGTCAGCCGGCAACCCGGTCCTGTGTGAGGCGGAAGGAAGGCGGGTGCTGAAGGGCCTGCTGAGTGAAGCGGGCACCAGATGCTATGGGCCCTTCCTCTACAGCCGGCTCGTCTACTACAGTGACTGGATCGTGGCCACCACGGCCAAATGGGGGGCTCCAGCGTCCCCCTTTCCTGGCCAAAGGTATCCGCCCCTTGGGGGCCCAGCGGAGGAACAGGCGAGGCTGCTGTTTGAGCCCTTTCTGGCGCTGAGAGCCCTGAATGTCTCCGGTGCTTCAGAAGAACCCCTCAGCCTGAACCTGGAGCTGGAGGAGGGCAGCCTGGGCCCCCCCGAAGGGCCCCCCGAGGCACGAGGGAAACTTCCACTCTACTATGACTACTACGGGGGGGAGCTGCTCGCCATCCCGTCAGCAGAGCCCGGCCAACCCCAGGGGCTGCAGGGCCTCCTCTGCGGGGTCCTCTTGCTGCACCTCCTGGCTTCCTGAACTGCTGGGCAACCGGACTGTTCCTGGGCCCCGAGACCCGATTTCTCTGGGGAGGCCCTTTGACCCTCCTCGGCCTCCTTGCCCTCCGAGCACGAGAGGGAAGAACAGAAAGCACCAACCCCCAGGAAGCCTCAGGACAGCCTGCCTTTGCAGGCCTCGTGCAGGGCGTTGGCCCATGGACAGGTGTCCCCATCCATTAAATCCCCTTTTTGTGTCCTATCGTTGATGAGATGTTCCTTTACTTGAGCTTTTGGCCAGGGCGGAGAGCAACCTGCCTGTTGCTAGACTGGGACCAGTGGCCACCACGTGTTTATGGGCCACCCCACCCATAATCCCCAAAGGTGGGGATTCCTGGGACACCCTGTGCCAGCTATGGATTTGGTCCACCACTTTGCACTTAGGGCGTAACTCTGAGCTGCAATCTCATGCCTGAGACCTTTGGATTCCCCCCCCCCCCCAACCCTGGGTTTTTCCCTAATGAACTTCTGGAGAACAAACTCCTCCATGGGGGGCGGGGGGGTGTTTCTTCCTCGGTGCTCTCTGAGCTTGGCTGTTTCCTTGCAGATGCTTCGTTACCCAAACTCATTTCAACCCTGAGCTACAGATATTCTCCTTGAGTGAAACTCTTCCATCTTCTTGGAATGCCAGTTTGGCTTGGCTACCTGTCAAGGCTTTGGCTGCCATCTCTGCCAGAGGTGGGATTCATCTGGTTCTGACCGGTTCTGAAGAACCGGTAGCGGAAATTTTGAGTAGTTTGGAGAACCGGCCAATCCCGGCTCTGACTGGCCCCGCCAAACCCATGTCTTCTCTGCCTCCCCTTGAGTCCCAGATGATCAGCTGGCTCTCCTTTGGTTGCCCTGTGCAGGAGAACGGAGCTGGAAAGCAGGTGAGTGAGTGGGGTGGGGAGGAAATGGGGATGTTGCAGTGTCCTTCCCCTGCCACGCCCACCAGGCCACACCCACAGAACCAGAAATAAAAAACTCTGAATCCCACCACTGATCTCCGCCCTCGTGTTCAAGCAGAGGGCCCTTTAGCACACGGCACCCTGCAGATGCCCGATGGCTGCGCCTGGTCGTTCATGCCACTGTTCTCCAGCAGTTAGAAAATAAATCAGAAATAGAATCTAGCAACATACGTTTTAAATGAAGCTACGTGGCATTTAGTTGGGAGTTTCTAGTAGTGGAATGGCTTGCCCTCAGAAGTTGTGGGTGTTCCATTACTGGAGACTTTTAAGAAGAGACCAGACAACCATTTGTCTGGAATATTATAGGGTCTCCTGCTATTGGGGGGTTGGACTAGAAGACCTCCAAGGTCCCTTTCAGCCCTGTGATTCTTATAGAAGCCAAGAGCTACAAGACAGAAACTCCTGGGATTTCTTTGCTTGAGGACTGTTGTCCTTCTTAGGGCAGCCCTGGGAGCCGGAGGTTTGGGGGTGCTACCTCTGGGGGCTCTTTGGGCTTGATGGGATTAGGCCATGGGTCTCCAAACTTGGCAACTTTAAGACTGGTGGACTTCAACTCCCAGAATTCCTCTCAGCCAACAAAGCTTTGCTGCCTGAGGAATTCTGGGAGTTGAAGTCCACCAGTCTTAAAGTTGCCAAGGTTGGAGACCCCTGGATTAGGCAAAGAGGGGAGCTGGGCTAGGCCCTGCCCGCACCCAAAAGACCAGGAGGGAGGAGATGCAGCCTCCATTTTGCGTCTTGCCTCCATGCTCTCCTCCCTCCTTCTCCTTTCAAGGGCGCCATGTGATTCATCTGATGCAGCTGAAGATTGCGGGGGGGGGGGGGGGGGGGGGGACGGGATGCCTTTCATTTCTGATTGCAAAATCCCAGTGAACCCACTTGCATCTACTCTCAAACATCTGGTCAGGTATTTTCCTTGTACAGGCCAAGAAAAATCGGGGTTATATAACTCTTATATTTTTTTACATTGAACATTTCTTTATATTCTGATATTCTAGAGCTCCCCCCCCCAACCCTACCCCCCTCCCCGCAATTTCAGCATGTTTAACTTACAACATGTAAATTTAAAACATGCATTTCCTGCTAAAGAGTTTCTTACCATGGAACTTCACACAAGATTTTAAATATTCTGGAGACCTTTGGATGCTGCCTCCAACCTATCAGTTTTATTTGGTTTTGTTGTTTCTCGCCCAGAGAAGTAGCCTGTGCTGCAAAGTTCTGACCCAGGACGGTGTGCTCTGGCAATGTGCATTTTCAGACGCTTCTTATCTGTTGCCACCGAGACATCGCCGCGTTTCTGCTTCCAGCGTTTGCCTCCTACTTTTCCAGGGGTTTCAGCCTCCTCTTGCTTGTTATAGTGCAAGAGGAAAGGGGATCCGGCTTAATTGGGGTTTAATTGGGGTTTTCCCTGGCATATTTCTAGGGTGACTCCCTCAAAGCTCTGGCAAGCTGGATCCCCTCTCCTCTTGCACTATTTTTCCCCTCACCACAAAGAAGGCAGCATCCATCCTCCCGCCCATTCCTTGGGAATACTGCGGCTCTGGCTGGCTCACCCCTGCTTCTTACGCCAACTAACAGCACGGGGCCCTTTGCCAAGATGACCCAGGGATATCCTCGGGCTGCTTGGAAAATGGCTTCTCGGCGGGTGGAGGACCATTCAAGTCCATCTTCCCATTCCGCCCTTCTCAGGTGTCATCCCCCACTAACCTGAGGGGGACCCTGACCGGTTAGCTCTCTTGGGGCAAGCAGTGTACAGCCGGTAGCTTGAGTGGCTTCACCCTTCTTTGGGGTCCATCCAGCAGGCCCCAAGTGCAAAACACCGGTGAGAAGCAAGAAGGGCTGAGATCAGATTCCTCTGGATGTGCAGTAGCAACAGCCCTTAAGGCTTATATGCCCTTTCACAGGGTCCTCCAGCCCTCTCTCCTGCGGTTGGTGCACCTGGACTGGCTCAGGCTCCAGGTCTCCCTTTCCACCTTTTTTTCTGGCAGAGAAATCCTCCCAGGAAGCCTGAAGGCCCAGCCACTGTCCGTGGGCGCTTTGAGGGGAAATGCCCCCGTCGCACTGAAGGTTTCAGTCCCCTCTCCCCACTTCCCAAGGTGCTAAAGGGAGTCTGGCTGTATCACCGCTCCTTTTATTCATTCTCATGTGGCGGAGTGATTTGAATCAACTCCATAGCTCTGTAGTCAAGCAGGTCTATCGTGATCGACAAATGGCTTAAAACAGATCCATTTACTAACACACTGAAGGGGCAGAAACCGAGGCTGGAGGTCAGATGCGGCACGGCAAAAGCCTCCTTCCCTCTCGGTGACCTCCAGGGGCTTTTCTGCCTCTCCGAAGCCTGCCTTGGTCTGGC